GAGACGTATAAAGCCATGTAGTATATACGTCTCTATCGTAACACACATACAGTGTTTTGTTTCTCAATTTCTCAGTCACATTCTTTCTGACTTTCGACGAAATACATTTCTCTCGATTACATGAAACACCGCAATCTCGTCCGGAGCCGTTCGTAAGGGAAGCAGATTGATGTAATCCTTGTAGATTATTTGAAAAAGGTTGTATACCAAATGAGATACTGCTTCACACGGCCCGACATTCAAAGAATACATACCAGCACCCAGAACTTAATAAGAGACATTTTTGAGAAAGGGACCTATACTTCTCGATGGATCAACGCCCCAGATGGGACAAGTGACCATCTTCTCCTACAGGACTCCTTAATGTTATTATCATGTTATGCATATGATAGTCTGGATGTAGTGAAATCTGAAGTGAGGCTATCAGCCGGTGATTAAGGTTTTCTCTACGTACCGGATTACATTATTTTGTATCATAGTCGAAATTCCGGGAATGATGCTCGGATATGTTCTCTGCACGCAAATGAGTGTCCCCCCTGGATTATTGAGGATATAAACAGGTTAAGATTCGTCCTTGATAGTACTTCATAGGTTACGCTCACTTATCGGTCTTTACACCACTGGGACATGTCATTGCAAAATCGAACGCTCAGTGATAATTATGTGCATCTTCGATATTCCAGGGGTTACGCTCACTTTTGCTCTCTGCACCCCTTGAGATTCCTCAACACTAAAATATGTATCCTCCATTGACACACCCTTGAAAACAACTAGGGAGTAAGTTAATTTGTTGGAGTGTATATCAGCTGTGATCTACTTTGGCGAAAACATATACAATAGTCAGCTGTCAATGCCAGACGATCTGCAGGATTCCTAAAATCTGCAAAGTATGCACCATGGATACAAGGAAACAAAAATGTACCATTATTACTGTTTCCATGATTGTCAAACACGCGGTTATACTGTTTTGGTCCCTTACATCATTCCGTTAATTGCTTTTAGAATTCCGTCGAATATGTTTTACCAGATTTACTTACGTCGGAAACTAACGTTATTTTCGCGCCTGTAATGACGCCCTTTAAAACAACTATCAACACAAAATGCGATAAGAGTATGTATTTGTGTTAATTCGCAATATCTTCTGTGCCTGATTACTACATTCATTTTTAAAGAACTTAACCATCTGTGGAGAAACGCCTCTCAGATTAATAAAACTATTGCAAGGTCTCGCAATCTCGCCTGTAACCAAAATGTATTTACACGATAACGTAAATAGATGCTTGAGTGAAACCTGTCATTCATTGTGATTTGTCCTTCCGATACTGTAGGCAATACACGATCGCGTAAGCTAATGTAGCTGTCATTTGGTCAACATTTTGCAGAAGTAGTGTGTCAGACCAGAGACCTAAAGTTAATTTAGGTCTATGGTCAGACATACTTCCTTCATAGTGCTCAGCACTCTCCACACAAATCGGGCGTAATCTGGATGGTTCGTTAGGATAACGAAAACATGATTTTCAACGTAAAGACTATATATCCTTATTAACTTTTTTTCCTCTTTTGATTCTGTAATAATCGATTTCCTTTCAAACCGAACTGGCGAAAGCGAAGTCGTCACGTGAAGGACTCTTTAACCCGGATGTTCTATATTCAAGGTTTTCCCAACATTTAACCAATCTCCATATCAGACTACGTTCTCCACTAAGATGAGTTTTACGCCATCATGTTGCAAACGGTGTCTGTCCTATTATGTACATAATATGCTTTAATCGAACTTTTGATGTTTTTGAGACTAAAAGCGACTCGATGTAAAACAGAAGAAACGCATCTGACCTGCGAGAGGTGGATTTACAATGTAAAACAGAAGAAACGCATCTGACCTGCGAGAGGTGGATTTACAAGCTATTTTTTCCGCCGCCATTAAACCTAGGAAGCATTCGGAAAACCATTAGTATTGTGTCCGCTTCAGAGTTATAATCTGATCAGAACTCACATGTCAGACTGTGTTGAAAGAATTCTGCATACACACTACACTCCCGTTCCCTATAACTGGAACATTAATGTTTCATGTCGTGCGAAAGAGGCCTTTCAGCATCCGAGTTCCGTTTTTTTGTTGACTGTAAAACAATGCCGGTTGATGATTTGACATAATACTGAATTCACTTAAATATTGTTTATCTTCTGGTGTATGCCCCATCTTTAATTATGTAAAAAACCTTCGTTTTTCAAGCAATTGTCTCCGGCTTCATCTGCAACTTCACAAGGCCTACTATATATATGTATGGGCTATAATAGGTGTATATGTTTGATCGCGCTATTATGTCGCCAAAGTAGAAACGTTCTCTGAAAGTCGAGTCGAATCATTATACATGTATAGTATTTACAGACAATGGTAATATAAATAAACATGGACTAGAAGTCACATCAGTCCTTCATACCTTGCAGGTAAAGAAATAAATCGAACACAAATTTATAACATGAAAAACATTTTTATGTATTTCTTTCTTTTTTCATATTAAAAATGTAAAAATAGTGATTTAACAATTAATACAAAGAACATGTATAGTTGTATATCGTAGTTGGAACTCTGCAGGCAACAAAACATTAGAAGAGGAATGAGTTGATTATAAAATATTGTTAAAGTTTCACACAGATCTTTGTTGTGACTTTCTATGCAATGATGTAGGTTAACTATTTTATTTAAATTATGAATAGGTCCTTAAACACTGACCTAATACAAAATGCTGACTGTAATTATTGAAAAATTCAGTTAATAGATAAATTATAACAACATGGTACAAGAAAAATAAAATAGCATTTAATATAACAAGAGGCTCAGAGGGCCTGTATCGCTCACCTAGATGACAAAGCTACCATGGGAAATTATTCTTATGACATAAAATCCCTCCAATGGAGAAGAAGAAAGATTTTAAAGATTAAAACCTCAAATTTCCTTATTTGGCCCCGCAATTCTCTGCACTTAGAGGGGCCTCACTCTTCGTTTATACAAAATTAAGTCCCCTTTGCCCAAGGATGCTACAGGCTAAATTGGGATAAATTCCCTTAATTCCTATATGGTGGAAGAGGGTTTCAAAGGTTTATACAAAACTGAGTCCCATTGGCCCAAGGATGCTCCAAACAAAATTGGGATGAAATCCCTTCATCCCTATTTTAGAAGAAGGATTTCAAAGGTTTACCTCTATTTCCCCTATTTAGCCCCACCCCTCTGCCACCAGGGGGGCCACACCCACCGTTTACACATAATAGAGTCCCCTTGACCCAAGAATGCTCCAGACTAAATCCCTTAATTGCTACGGTAGAAGAAGGATTTGAAATGTTTTACCTCAATTTCCCCTATTGGGCTGAGCCCCACCCACCCCTTTGCCCTCAGGGGCCACACCCACTGTTTATACAATATTGAGTCCCCTTGGCACAAGGATGCTTCAGACCAAATTAGGATAAAATCCCTCAATTGCTACGGTAGAAGAAGGATTTTAAAGTTTTTACCCCAATTTCCCATATTGGGCCCTGCCCCTGTGCCCCCAGGGGGTCCATACCCAATGTTGTATTGGCCCCTTGGCTTAAGGATGCTCCCGCCCAATTTAGTCAAAATCTACTGGGCCGTTAAGGACAAGTAGCGTTTTAAAGGAAAAATTGACGACGGACGCTGCGCCATGGCAAAAGCTCACTTGCCCTTTGGGCAGTTGAGCTAAATAACATAAATCATGTCTTCAGATGGAGTAACATACATATTGATCACCAAGAAATGGAGAGAGTTACAGCTTATAAAACATCATAGGGAACATGAATATGATCGAGGTAGGGCTGGTTTGGAAGCACGTTTTAGTGTATAGGAACTGTTTCATGTACAGCAAAATTGCACTTAATGTGTTGGTATTTACTATTTACCATAGAGAGTTATATTCAATATCCTCCAGGCTGCTTGATCAATTTCTAAAGAATTGTGTATATATGTCTATCTCCCCTTTGGAGGTTCAAATAAATCAGGAAGTCCTCAGAAGCAGTCTGATTAATATTTATATACAGTATATAGACTTATCACCCGGTTACAGTTTGCTACATTTTAAACAGTTTTTCTTATTAGAAACAGGTCAAATTTAACGTAATATGTGATGATAAGGCCCCGGCAACTAATGACGAGTATTGTGTTAAAATCAGATTATCCATCGTATAACCAAACCGTTTCATGTTGTTGTTTTTGCCTAGTGTTTTACATAATTTTGTAAATGGTTGTTTTCCCTAGATGAAGTGTTCGTCCCCATTGAAAAGAGGCACCAATTTCATATCGTTAAAAAACAATTAGATTAAACAGTAAATGTAAGTAAAGGAAGTAATAACGACAGTGCGGACACATTAACAAAAAATGAGGCATTTAATCTGTTAGTTCTTATGCTTTTACATTACATTACAACACATAGAACACTAATGTTAACTATATATAGCACTAAAATATATGCACCGTTTTATCTGGACTGAGCCGAAGACTATTAAAAAAGAAAAGTCACGTGATTTATTGTGTACCCTTGTTTTGGATTCAAGCGGGATATCTCAATGGCAAGAGGAACTCTTAGTAAATACACGGACTAAGATAGCATCTAATCTAATTCCGTGGTAAATATGATACATTGTAACCTGTTCAGTGGAATTGTTATGAAGGGGAATATGAAATAACGGTTTTTGGTCTACTGTATGATGATATAGGGGACTCTGGGAATGTATGAATGAGATTCCCTGAAGACTTGAAAATGTGGCACAAGGAAGTTAAAAAAAATGTGGGCATGGTTTGGTGGAATGTCATACCTCTACCATGTGTTAAGGGTTTGACCTTTCACCACTGTAGACCATAATGGACCCCTCCATTTCAATGCATGGTAGAGTCTACTAAAGTTACATAGGGGTGAAAGGGTTAACCATACTTGCCAACATTTTAAAATTTCCATGGGGGAGATTCTGATTCTCAAAATTAAAACATTAATAAAGTGTGTATATATACCCTAAAGAGACAAACTAACCCTTTAAAATGACATATTTTGAGTGTTTTTTTTCAGATGTAATTAAATTGCTTCTCATGAGTCTGTACAACTCACTGCAGCAGAATCTTTTTATATTTGTTTCTGTTTAAGAGATGTTCGTTTGATGTTTTTACAATGGTGAATCGGCGTAACTGATGTCAGGAACTTCAAATTAATTGTCAGCTCCTTACAACCTTCAGAGTTTACAATTATAAACACCTTGCAAAGATGTAGAAGTATAATTTGACAGACATGCTTGATTTAGCTATCAGACCAATATTGGCCAAGTGCTTGAATCACAAGTCTTTTCGCACAATGTTTCCTTCGATATATAAGTTGTAGTTAGTAAGATGATGTTATACGATTAAAACTCTGAGGCCCTTTCTTTTTTTTGTTTTTTTTGTTGTTGGTTTGTTTGTGTTTTGCATCCTATTAACAGCTATGGTCATTTAAGGACATGCCAGGTTTAAGTGGTGGAGGAAATCCGGAGTACCTGAAGAAAAACCACCAACCAACGTCCAGTACCTGGCAACTGCCCTACGTAGGCCTGAAACTCGCGACCCAGTGGTGAAGGGTTTTTGGTAGCAGACTATCAGACGCCTTAACCACTTGGCCACCGCAGTCATTAGATATACAATGAGATACACAAATACATAAGAACGATACGAAAAGTTCGCATGGGCGATAAACAAGCAAGGATAATTTACAATAAGTAATGACAACACACAAGTGAAGATGATAGCAACAAGTAATGACAATTTACAATAAGTAACGAAAATACACAAGTAGTCAAGACAACACACAACAAGTAAAGACGATACACAGAAAGTAATGACAATACACAGAAAGTAAAGACAATACACAACAAGTAATGACAATACACAACAAGTAATGACAATTTAAACAAGTAAAGACGATACACAACAATTGAGGACAGTTTACAGTAGGTAAGGACAATACAAAACTATGGTAGGAAACAATTGATCACAAACTGTTTGACTAGATTATGATGCAGATATTACTTCTTAAAACATATTGGTAAAAACAGTAATTTCACCAGAAATAAATCCCACAAAACACTGGATCATTACGAATGGATGTTTGTAGGATACAAATTACTTACAAAAGACTAGCGACTGAATGTCTGTCTTCTTTACAAGAAACAATTAACAGCATTTTTAGAAAACATGTATGAACTGAACACCCCAATGACTAAGCTGTAACATCTGGGCATCATGTTAAATAGGTTTCATTGACAATACACAGAGGATATTGAATTAGTAATGAGAAGTTATGCCAAAAGGATTGATGTTTCACATACCCAATATCTAGCTTATGGTTCATTCTGCAAAAAACTTGTGATATGGTTTTTTCAAATTGGTAAAATGATAGAAAATTTGGACTAAGATGTAAAAGTGTGACATCACAGTGTTTGAACTTATTTCAAATGTGAAACTATCCAAACAAAACCATAAGCGAAATGTATTGAAACATATAGCAGCTATATATGGGATAGAAATGTGCAAAGTGGAATCACTTTTGAGGTCTTGTTTATGGGATGGGTTGTATCCACAGGCTTCAATGATTTGTATCGTACAAGTTACTCTTTATTATCATCTGGATGATATCCTTGCTTATGTAATGTAATTGGTAGAGAAGATTAAAAAAATAATAATTAAAATCACAACCGTAAATATAAAAAATGTGAATGAATCGGTAAGTATTTCGGATAAATTTGAAATTGGATAGCTCCCTTGTGAAAAATATTTGTGCTATCCAATAAATTAAGTGTTCACAGTAAAACAACCTTAAGGGCTATTAAAAAATCCTCAAATGGAGGGGGAGAGGGAGGGGAGGGGCATTTTGTTTATCCCTATCACCAACAATTTTACCCCTTGACAAATGATAACAATTCTTTAATACCCAGTCTCTGTATATAATTCCTCTATGCCCTCTTCTGCAAAATATTCATCGATGGAATAGGCCTTACACCAACTACAGATGTTTTTGAGTATTAGAAGTCGACATTCTGTATTGTGTGGACTTAAAATATACAGCACCCAACTGTACAACTGTACCTGTGAGGTTAGCTGTGACCTAACCTACTTATTGACCTCCGTGGTATCGTTGACTTGCGGGTCACAGGGGTTTCCCCCCTTGATGTTTGACTAGTAAGAGATTCTGTGTCTGATCCTGTATCTTGATGATCGCTGAGGGAGCTGAGACTCCCAGCCCTCCTCAGCTTGAGGGTTCTGTTTGGAATAAATGTGTTGGGGATGTACTTCTGGTCCTTTTTATTTTTGCCAGTTCTTTTCACTATAGGTGGCATGCCTGTTGCATTGCCTAGCTGAACTCCCTGTTTACTCCCTATAGAGCTAGCCTCTGTTTGTTGGTTTCCATTGGGACTTGCATCCTTTTGTTTACCCTCTGAAGGGCTTCCCCCTCTACGTATATTTCCTGAGAGGCCACTTCGGCTACTGCGAGGAGGTTTAATTCCTTTTCGTCTTCTGTCTGAGGGGCTGTTCTCCCTGTGAGTACCAGCTCCCAATACCAAAGGCTTCTCCTCTAAACTTAGACCTGATATGTCCTCCGTACAATGTTCTATCGAATCCTTGTTGTGCTGGTCACTGTCTTGTAATCTATTGTCAGTGTTATATTTCCCAGCTGATTGTCTGTTTTTGGGGCTGACCTCTATTTCTTCATTGCCTGAAAATAGATTATATGCTTACTTATTGAGGCCAGCTAAGATAAGATATAAAAAAGAAGTTCCATGCTAAGGAGATCGAATTATCATTCCAAGGTAACTGAACTGCAGAAAAACATTCCACACATTTACCTGTGAGGGTGCTGGTGTCACTGGTTGCTAGTGTGTCACCAGTAGGAGGAAACATTTCCTGGTATGAGCTTTCCTGTTTGTCCAGGAGACTACGGAGTTCCTCTTCCAGTTTATGTTGCTCCTCCTTCAATTCTGCCCTTTCCCTTCCTGCCTTGTCTCTCTTCCATTGACTTTGCTTCACAGCCTTGTCAAGAGATTTGGTAAACTCCTCCCCAAAATAGGACAGAACCTCTGCCCCACATCCTATCACGAAAAGTTGAAGGAAAACTTAAAAAAATAATTACAAGGTATGAATTGTGGAGGGACAAGATCAGTGACATCATGTTATTTCTGGAGGTGGTATTTCTCCTCTGTTTCATGTTTAATGACAAGACACTTGAATGATAAGAACTTTGGCTGAAATTGTGTACAGTATACCTAGAATTACTCGCCACTGTTTAACTTTGACTCCTTTCACCCTCCGTAACATGGGCTTAATTTGTTATGATGGTAAACATTAGCACATAGCTTGATATGTATTACTTGTATTTCAATTGAGAAGGGTGCGGAAATCATTACAGCATTGAAAGGTTCAAAATGAAAAAAAACAATTTTTCCCCACTACATACCAGTTTATTTTAATGTCTTTCCAATTAAAGACCCAAAATTAATGATCTTTACAATTAACAAAAGATCGGCCCCATTTATGCCCCAAGACTCTGCCAAAGGAGAACATAGATAGACTGAAAATACTGATTCCTATGGTGAAGCTTTAGAACTTATGAAATGATCATGAGTTTATCAACCTGTTTAGAATACTGACCATTTTCAGGTTTACCCTCTGTTGACAGTTTCAGGACAGCATCCATCAGCTGAAATTTTGGAAAATAATGAAACACCAACAATGTTGTTATGAAATAGACATCTGTCATCAATTTTTAACACACACTTTGGAGCTTTCATTAAAAAAGGAAATTCTTAATTGATACATTTTTTTTTGATGTTTGCAACTTCATAAAAAAAAAATCCTGCATAAAAACAAAAAGTAGGGATATTAAACCCTTGTCCTATATAAGGCTCTTTGCCTAATGTATACCAAGAATTATTCTCTGGTGCTCTCTTAGGAGTGGTGAACAGTGCAGGGATGGAATTCCTACCCTCTACCATACTGAGATTTAATGGTTGGCAGTGTTTGACTGTCTACTTAAGCTGTTACCAGATCTATACTATTTCTATCATGATTGTCAATTATTCAAAGCTGCCCTCACCTGATCCTCACTGTTCTTAAAACAAGTCAGGAACTGTCTAAGGCCGTTCTCATTGCCTGATGTTTTCATAGTCAAATAGGCCTCCAAAATATCTGCAACCAAACATGTCACACAACTGTAAAATTAATTTAGCTGTTCTTATATGGTGTCATGATTCTCAAGAAATTAATCTGAGTTAGAACTGGCCCCTTATTTATGAAACTGTGCTCATGCTCAAGCATGGATTTTGTGCTCAAGCCTAATTTCTTGTTACGGTTATAAATTAATAATACCACCTAATTTGTCAATGATTTGGGAGAAATTGAAGAGACTTCAAGCCAAATATTTTTTTCAATGTTTCCATTTGACTTTTTGATCGTTTAATATGATTTAAGTGAGTTACAAGAAAACTGGTTTGATCACAAAATCTATGCTTGAGTTTCAACAGTTTCATGAACACAGGCTCTGAGGTTTGAGAATATAGACTTTTCAGACATGAACATTATCAGAGAAAAGGGATCTCTTTTGTTATCATTTTTAACTAATTTCAGTAATAGTTTTATACTTTGGTCAGGTTATGAGGTGATGTAAATTGAATAGATGGCAAAAGCAAAAGGAATAATTCTCTCTGTTGGTCAGGCTATGAGGCTTTTGGTCAGGCTATGAGGCTTTTGGTCAGACTATGAGGCTTTTGGTCAGACTATGAGGCTTTTGGCCAAGCTATGAGGCTTTTGGTCAGACTATGAGGCTTTTGGTCAGGCTATGAGGCATTTGGTCAGACTATGAGGCGTTTGGTCAGACTATGAGGCGTTTGGTCAGACTATGAGGCTTTTGGCCATCTATTTCTTTCTTTTGGTCAGGCTATGAGGCTTTTGGTCAGGCTATATGAGGCTTTTGGTCAAGCTAGGCTTTTGGTCAAGCTATGAGGCTTTTGGTCAGGCTATGAGGCTTTTGGTCAGGCTAAGAGGCTTTTCGCTATCTTTTCAATTTACACATGCTCAACTGGAGTTACATCCTCGATATCCAAGGGTTATGCTCACATTCGCTCTTTACACCCCTGGAATATGTCATGGGTGTAGAGAGCGAAAGTGAGCGTAACCCCTGGATAGCTAGGATGCTGGAGTTATCACTTCATGACCTGTCCAAGATAAACAAATATTGTTTCTTTTTACTGCAATTTTCTGTGAACGGTCTTTAACTATCTTGTTCATTAGTCAGATCAGTGGACAATAAGTAACAGTCTGAAGTTTGTATAAGAATTGATTAACTCACACATAAACTGTTGATGACGTCACACAAATGTGCCTTGTTCTTAGAAAATTTGCATATCACGCCCACATGTATTGTAGATCTTATAGATCTTACAGAGCTAAATGATGAGGTACATGTATTTTAAGTTCTAGGAAACAGCCAACTGCAAGTATTTTATATGTACCAATGGAATTGATTTATATTTTGTACAAGTATTTTATATGTATTAATGAACATAAATGTAATTGTGATTTGTGACACTTAAATAAACAAATTGAACTTGAACTTGAACTTGTATATACATAACACATGTGTACTAACAGAGTATTACAGTTAACTCACCACGTAGAGGCTTGATAAGAAACTCATTGGTGGACTTTTCAAATTCTCTGTAACCTTCCCTGTATCAAACACAAGCATTATCATGTTTTATCACATCATAGAACTTCAATACAGTGTAGTACAAATGTCTGACAAACAAGGAAGACACTAGATACAGTAATAAGTTTTGATGCACCAATAATGAAGAAACTAATGGATGTTCGTGAATGGTAATTCATATTATTTTAGTCATGTTTTTTAGGATTTGGACTTTAAGGGTATCTCAATAGTAAGTTACTAACAGTGTCAAGCTACAAACATATATACATGATCATTCTTTCTACCAAAATTGTACCAAGCAATTCAAGAAGTGTACATTTAAATGACTTAATATTAAACAACAGAAAAGTTATATTAGTCAAATGGGATAGACTCTTTCTAATGTTACAAAGTATATACAATTGTATGCATATGTGTAGTAGGACATAATGATAGTGCCGTCGCTGGGGCTCGAACCTGCGAACCTTGGCTCTCAAGACCACTGAGCTAAAGGGAAATTCCCTACAGCTGATGCTTGTAAGGCAACCTAGTTAATGCACATCTTTTACATATGGTCTAACTTTAGCAGCGACTGACATTACAAACTTATTTTTTACTGTTATAAACAATATCAGCATACTATAATGTACTCGTCTACCAGCTAATACATATACCATACCTTACAGCTGTCAGTAGTGTCTCAGAATAGGAGATCTGGAGATTGTACACAGCTTGGTGGAATTTTACTTCTTCTTTCAATCCTTTGATCTGAAAATTATAAATTTCAAGCGTATATTACTTATATGCAAAAAGTTTCAAGGCATTTCATAAGTAAGGACAATGTAAGTGACTGCATTAAGTTACTGCTTAGTTAATGATTTTCATAATCTTTAGTACGAAAGTTCAAGAAATTATATTGGGAACTTAGTTTCAACAAATCAACTCTTTTTGCCTTATACAAAAATAATGTAACAATAAATGCTATTTTCCTAAATTTCCCTATGTTCTGGGGATATCAATAACTTTATTGGGCTATAGTTTCAGGACTCTATCCCTGATATAACAAACCCTATGAAACAGGAGGCCCAGAGGGCATGTATTTCTCACTTTGATATGTTAGCAATCATGGTAAAATATTCTCATATATGGTTCTAGCTATAGGACGAGGGAGGGCTGTTACCTGTTGGGTCAGCATGTGATGATGGTAATTCTGGGCTTTAAGGAGAGCGGTCATCACTCGCTTGACCTCTGGTATTTTGGACTTTGGTAGACTAGGAAGACTGCTCATTACATGATCACAGGTCACATCTTTCAGCATAGATTTTTTCAATGGAGGCTGAAATTATATATATATAAAAAAGCACAAAGTATTTTTTTTTTTTTTT